TGTGCCGAGGGCTTAAATAGCGTGATTCGTCGCTTACAGCGTTAGTTGTAGAGAAGAAGCTCTCGTGGTTAAGTAATAGCTGCGCGGATCAATAGATCTGCGATATTAAGTTGCACTTGCCGCGGTCAGTCCATGAATGAGTGACCATTTTCTTAACGTACCGAAATTGAGAGAATAGAGAATGCATCTGTATCCTCAGACAGTGGGTGCACTTTACTCTGTTAAGATCATTATGATTTTAAAATTCATGCAGCTAAAATGATAATTAGTTTATTGTTACTTTATAATTTCCAGGGACAGATGAAAGAATAGAAACTTGAAGCATGATGAAGCCTCTTAAACATTTTGGCCTTTAAACAGAGCAATCTTATTTAACTGATTGCTACTAGTTTCCTTACTTAAATTATTAAGTTTAAATTCATTTTTAAGTCGAATGTTAAAATAACTTCTATAATGTATTTAATTATTAAATGCTTTCAATTATCAAAAGTAATACTTATATAAAAAATTAAGCAGTCATTGTGCACTCCGTAACCCCGTTTTTTATTTCCCCATCAAATTAATTTTATAAAATATAAATAGGTATGTACTTAGTTTAGTATCTACCTATTTATATTAACAATATGTCAAAAAAGAAATTCCGGGAAAGCTGTCCATGGCAGTAAATATTTTTCTCCAAAAATCAAAATATAATATATAAAAAACAAAAGCTCAAAATACAACTATCAGGTCTGATTCTTGGGGAGTTTTTTTATGATTATCGGTAGAGTCAATTGCGACTTTATACATTTTAATTAAAGTCCAACAAAAGGCAGGTAGATAGGTTCAGCTTATTCCCAGGAACAGGTTATATGAATATTTTTTAATTATTTTAGAACTATCATGGTGAAAATTCAGTAAATATTTGAAGTTATTCAATTGCGTGCACTAAACAATTTTTTTAAATCTTTTTACCGCTTCCTTAACAATCATTTTTCGATAGTCCTAGTAAGTTAGTAAAATGTACATCATTAGCTAACGCAACAATGACAAATCAAAATTTGTCACTAGGGATGATCGATGTTGCAGAAACATCGATGATGACATTGATGTTGGCATCGATAGCTCAACATCGATGTTCGATGTTTAGCCTACTCAAAACATCGATGTTGACCATTATCGATGTTTTTGTATATGTAAAGATATTCTTACATATTGTTTCAAAATTATGTGGGTATACACAGCAAGGGAAAAAGTAACAGTTAACTTGAATATCAATTTACGTAGAATAGTTATTATGCGACAACCGACAATGTCACTACAAAATAAAGCGAAAACAGTGACCACTGTGACATTACAGGTGACACTTGACAATTAAGTTTGATACACTATAATGATATTTTTTTAGGTTAGCGATGCTGAATTATTCAAAATTTTAAATCTTCAGAGGAGATGCAAGATTTAGTTGATATTGATTTCGCGGGTGCGCATTGTTTGCAAGTTCCCAATAATCGATCGATTATGGGTTCATTGACATCGATATTTCGATGTTTAACATGTGTTAACATCGATGTTAAAACATCGATGCTTTAATTTTTAACATCGATGTTAAAACATCGATGCTTTAATTTTTAACATCGATGATTATCGAACATCAATGATCATCGAACATCCCTATTAGTCACGCGTTTTCGGGCTGTCAGGTCGTCTATACGCCAGTCTTAGATTATTATATTCCTTCATGTCTATGATTCGAGCAGATATCGAACGAATGAGACTGGCTGCTGAGATTGAGATAACCATTCTATTCAGTTTAGTAGTACTGATGACCGAATAGAGCTAATAGAACTAATAGAACCAATTAGTTCACTGACAGTTATGAATTAGTATGCTAGCGATCTTTAGAATGGCCGCGCAGGCACAAGACTACGCTGTTGAGCATAGGCCTACCCATAGATTGCTTCATAGGGGGAATATTTTTAATTGTTGCCACACATGCCAGGGAGTTGACAACCGCAGATATTTTATTATTTCGAGTTGTACCCATAGACTTAGAATTTATATTCTAAATCTATGGCTGTACCTATTACCTCTTTCGTTTTCGTTTCCCTCAGTTACTTATTACGCTGCCACCAGCTGCCACACAGACAAAACAAACATTATTAGACAGTTAATATCTATCAAAAATATATTTCTAAATACATATTATTATACCTACGTATATAGTGACCTGTTGGTACCCCAAACACGCGACACGTGATTTTGATACGTGGTACCCCCTGCGACAATTTTATCGCGGCAGGTTCAGAACAAAGATAACCCCTGCGTTCGAAGGAATAATATAAAGTTATTAAATTACTGCCGGTTAGCAATGACGATGATGTTTGTGTAAAGTATATATAATTATCATAGTATAAAGAATTGTAATCTTGACGCCAACGGTCGCTAAGTTTTAAAACTTCGCCTTAAACTTAAACTACGAGTATGAGCACACGAACTTAAATTCCAGTCAATCCAAAACTCTTACATCCAGTTATATCGTAGAATGCTAGATTAGCATGCTTCAGCTACAATTGGGTCTGTAATATTTTTATAAATACATCCAAAAAGTTTTTCATCGGTCAGAGGAACTTTATTTTTATACATTATTAGACTTCATCTCTCTACATCAAAACACTAAAACAATTTCGTTTCAAGAGGTTCGTTGCGTTGCTCTATTCCAAACTCGCACAAACTTAATATGTTTATTAAGAATTGAATTACGAACAGACGCACACTCCAGTGTGTTCGTAATTCTATTTTCAACCGATTTCAAAAAAAGAGGAGGTTGTCAATTCGACTGTAAATTTTTTTTGTATGTTTGTTACCTCCGAACTTTTTTGTATGTGAAGTGATTTTGATGATTCTATATTTAAAAATTAATTATGTTAAAATTCTTGATTTTTTATTTGAAAGCTGGTGCTTTTCATGTGGTTCCACATAAATTTGATCAAGATGTGACCAGTATATTTTGAGTTATTCTTAATAATGCGTATTTAAATTGACTTCTACTACATTGATGATGTTCTCATTTTATTACCCGACTGCCAAGGAAGGGTTATTAATATAGAAATCGGTTGCACAAAATTTTGATTGATGTACAATTAATGAAAACGAGAAACCTCATTTCCAGGGGATATCATGTAAGTACTCTTTACTCTTTATTAGTATTATAAAAAAATGTATAATAAAAAAATTCACCTTTTTGATAGATAAGTCCTGCTTATTTTCTGGAACTTATTTGAAAAAGCAATGCAAATGCAATGTTCTCGCACAGCTCCATAAAGAAATTACCGACTCTTTGGAGTCGAGTACTTGGTATTAATATTTTGTGCTTGTTCCTAGTATTTACAGAAAATACCTAACTATTTTTAATAAAACTGCATTTGTTTTAGTATAGTATATATACATTAATTTTAATTATTGGTTTTGATCAACTCTTTCTTTAATAAGATATACATACCAATATTCAAATTGTGAAATCCTGTTTCACATGTTTTAAGACTTGTTTGTTCAATTAACTATACTTGATATCAATCTATGGCCTATACGCTGACGTCTAACGGTGACGCAGATGTAATAACGTGCTTAAAAAAAATAAGATTAGCTTTTTTTTAATAATTAACATTATAATATTTCCATTCTTATTCATCTTAGCCTTTCTCCAGCTAAAGCTAGTCAGGTCTCTACTTAGTACTAATAATAACATTTTGGTACCACACGAGCTCACTAAAAGAAACCTAATGAATCGTGTACTCATTTGCGATTCTCTATTGAAAAGTAATGAAACTGAACCATTTTTGAAAAGATTGATCACTGGTGATGAAAAGTGGATCACCTACGACAAGAACGTGAGAAAAATATCATGTTGAAAGGATAATCAAGCTCTATAGACATAGACAAAACCCGGATTAACACGCAATAAGGTGATGCTGTGTGTGGGTGGGTTGGTAGGGCATCGTTTATTATGAGCTTTTACCGAAAGGCAAAACCATCAATTCGGATCTCTACTAATAACCTAATAAGACAATTAATAAGGCAAGAAATTGAGAAAAAACTGCCTCAATTGATCAACAGAAAAGGAGTGGTTTTTCATCATGATGACGCCAAACCACACACATCTTTGGCCACTCAGCAAAAATTGAGAGAGCTTGGTTCGGAAGTGTAAATTCATTTACCATATAGACCTTGCACCCTCAGATTTTCATTTCCTGTTTCGGTCTCTTCTGAATTGTTTGGGTAGTGTTAGGTTCACTTCAAGAGAGGACTGTCAAAACTACTTGTCTCATTTTTTTGATTAAAAATCCCAAGACATCATCGGATTATCCCGTGACACTACCTACAAGATGGCAACAAGTTATCGAACAAAATAGCACATATATATTATAATTAAACTTCAAAAAGTCTTGAATTTGTATATAAAATACAAAGAAACTTTCTCCAACCTTATAAATAAACATTTTCGATAGGTACTTGTTATTTTATATCAATATATCGATATTTTTTTCTACAAGGCAAGCCTGAAGAGTTTTAAAGTAATTAGGAAGGAAAAAAACTGTTAAAGTAAACAAAATTTTTAAATTAGAGCTTCTGCGTTGTTGTGACATTTAATATCAAATTAAAACCTGAACGCAGTATAGTAAATACGTCTGTGTCATTATTATACATTTTGATTTTGACAAATTTTGACTTTTCATGTCATGTCAACTGTCAAGCAGGTCAGGTGACAGGTGTTAATGATGTAAATGTGTATTGTGAATGGTTAATTGAAAATAAACAACGAACATACACAGTATTATCTATTAATATTAATTCTAGTAGAAATGTAGAAGCCGAAGTATATCGATTGATTAACTTATTATTATACACAAACGTAAAGGAAATTTTGCATAACCTTGAACAGTCTATAAAATGATTTGCGTAAACTGCAAATTTAGAATGTAGGTTGTAAATCAAAAACATAATAAAAAAGTTAAAAAGCGATGTTGCAGCCAGGGGGGGCATTTTCAAATGGATGGGCTATAGATACAACAGCGCCTGTTGACGTGAACAACTCGAATGATAACGTAAGTGTAGCCCCCTGCGGACTTGTTTGTCTTAAGATAATAGACCCCTTTGTGACCTTATCATTATAGTCCGCCGCTGTGTACGTTAGTCCTCGCTTATCTAACCAAGGTTCCTGCAACTGTCTCCAAAGTGTCATCAATGTTTATTAAAATATATACAATGCTTCTCAGTAAGTATTATTACATTTATGTAAGTTTTATTTGTATATTATAAGTACAGTCTACTTCAATTCTTCTGTTCTCGTACATAACAATGGAGGATTTTTGTCAGGTATTTAAAGTATACAGTAAGATATAGATCAAACCTTGTAAATGCTACCAATCAATGAAATAAATAAGTAATACCTATTGTAAACATATTTGACTATTATTTTCCATAGTAATTTTGTTCTTTTTTATTTAAAACCCAAAATCAACTTTATTATGTACCTATAATTTTTTTTTAATTTATTTTATACAAGTTTTTTATACTTACTATTTAAAACCAAGCAGTTAATTTTTATTAGTTGAACTAATTAGTTATGAAGACAGATTAACCATATTATACAAATAATTAAACCTTTGACTAGGGTATCCTCTAAAAAGTTTTATTAAATTAAGTACATTAAAAATTTCATCCTCCATTTTTCTACGCTCAGGGTAGAATTTTTTCTTCAAGTTTAAAAAAAGACCATCATTGAGGTTAATAAAAAAAAATTTAATTGGTTTAACCTTCTCAGAGAAATTGATTGAACATAAATAAACGTTGCAACTGAGTGCTGTATTTAGAACCACTTCCTAGATGTGTTTTATTGTATTTAATATTATATAGTGATTGTATTTAATAAAAAAAAATCAATTCACAATTGATGAAGATATCACATAATGTTAACGTTATAGACATTCATCCATCCATTACAGCTTATAAAAGTCCACTGCCAAACATCCCATAGATTGCCTCATAGGGAGAAATTTGCCATAGTTTCCATGCTTAGCAGACAGATTGGCAACTGCAGCTTTTTATTATTTGGAATTGTTATCAGTACACCCACGGGATGATATGCCGTAATGGATATTCTTACTCTGCCCCTACACAGTTTATCAGATAATGCTAACCAGATATTGTTATCAAGTAAATCAGTATAGAAACTTAAGTTGAAGCAGTTTTTTTTATAACACCACAACCAATCATTTCATAACCCAAATTTATGCAATTTTATAGTTTTAGTTAGCATGCATTGAAGCTGTGTCTGGCATTAATTTGAAATGCCTTTTTGTCAGAAACATTTGTGTGTGCGTGCACAATATCAGATGAATGATATAGGCATGAATATGGGACAAAAGGATATCATTTTTAATATACAGTCTAAACTCCATATACCAAACTCCTATTTAATGAAAAACTTGACATTTTTTTATTTGAATGACTTTGGATGGTTTTCTGTAATTCACATACTTTGATACACTATACATAGAGTGTAACACCCACTCTCAATAGTGAAGCAATACATAATCACTTAGAATGCAATTATTATTATTATTGGTTTGAAAATGCTGTATAAGTCGCTGAAAGTGAAAATAAATGTGGCTGCATTTGATTATTGGTAAAAATATTTATACTTATCAGCAATGATCCCACTAAAATCCCAAGATATTAATAAAATTCGGAAAATAATTCAATTTAAATATTGGAATTGTGTAAATGTCTGACAAAAATTACAAGCTATACAAAATAATGATGTGATTGCTTAAATAGATATTTTGATATTTGCAAATTAGACTTTATTTGTAAAATTAAACGAGTTGTTTCTTTCTACTTTCCATTTAACAATAACTCTCAATAATGTATGAAAAAGCTCAGTTCCTTTTTTGAAATATTTTCAGACATTTTTGTTTTGTTCATTTTTGTTTTGTAGAGTTTACACTGTATTTAGAATAATAGACTTATTGAAGCTTTCAAACCCTATATTTAATTACTGAATTTTCTTATAAATCACAAAGTTTTTATCAATTGGTGGCTTTGATTTAAAACCTATGTAAATTAACCCGAATTACTAAGTTGATTAGGAAGTTACGTAATTTAACAATTCTAAATCATGCGTTGGTTGTTGATCTTTGAAGTCTTAATTGATAGATGAAGAGAGCTATTTGATAGTCTGTAGAGATTAATATTTCCTATTACGCATTTTAAATATTTTTTTTTATAAATGTTTATTTTACAGATAACAAAGTTATATTTTAACTTAACCTGATGTCACAAAAATTAAATAAACAACAGTTACGCTTCTTGAAATACTTATGTCGCATTTGCTTACGTAGGTTACTATTAATCTTCAAATACATTTACATCATTCTTTGATAATAAATGAATTAGAATTTATTGCTTGTTATTAATGTATTTTAATTTTCATCAAACATGTTGTGCTATCTATATGTTGTGTTTCTAACAGTGCCACTTATACCATAATATATAACATACTTTAGTTTTGTGTTTGTTTTGTCAACAGCATTTTAAACTTAATATTCTTATTAACTTTCTATTTATTCTATTGTCATTATTTTTTTTACTATTTTGAAAGTATAGTTAATGTTTATATATTTTTGAACTGTAGTAGGTACTGTCAATATGCCACAAGCAACTAACACATTTGCAACCATTAATAAATTATAAAAATATTAACTTTATTTTAGTATCACAAAATGTAAGTAGTATTTTTAACTCACATTTTCTTTATTGACTATAACAATTACAGTGTTCAAATTATTTTTTTCTAATTTTTTTGCAAAAGTAAAACAAAATTTCATATATTATTTATATTATAGTAGGTACATTTGGTATGCATATTCTGTACGCGTATTCTACCATTTAGGCAGAACATTTAAAAAAACTTGGATGGAAATTGATTATGAAACTTACATGAATAACGGAACTTGAGCTAATTTTTCTAGTTGGTAGAACTCCAGTCTGCCTTTAGGACTTGATCTGTGTGGGTACCCTTTTTTAGTTATTTATGTCGCCAAATAGCAGTGCATGCACGTCTCGGTTCCAGTATGAAAGGTGTAGCGAGTCAGTAATAAAGGCTGTGAGGCATTCCATCTTGGTCCTCGGTGGGGACCATGAGGTACCGTAACCACTTACCATCACGTTGACTGTAAGTCCGTTAGTCACTACAATTTTATAAAAACGTTGTTATTCAATAGTTACATTATTTTTTTATTATTAATAATATACAGGGTTATTTTTCAAAGAGTAGCCAAATTTTAAACTTAAGTTCAAATACATAAATAATGATATAGCTTTATTGCAGTTTTTGAAAATACGAGTAATAACGCTTCTACTTTTATTTGAAATTATCCCAAATTGAATGTGATTTATGGTTTTGCCTACCGATGTTTTTGCCTACCGATCGACTCTTACGAATGTGTGCGTGCACAGTGTGTGTTAAAAAATGTGTTAAAAATGCATTACCACGCATTTTTAATTTAAAAGATAAAAAGGATGTTTGAGATTTTTTTTAAAATTAATTTTTCTTAACCATTTGCCTATATTACTTATTTTGAACCTTCTCTGCAAATTTAGCCGGTTATTGCAAAATAACCCTGTATAAGATACGGCAAATGACTCATCCCAAGAAAGATTTACCTACAATAACCGCGTTGGAGTAAAAGCTGATACCCTGGCGCTAAAAAACCTGTGCTCCATCACATCAACATTTATGTTTAGCATACTTGTATAAATCGTTCAATATGGTGCTGTAACAGATATTTTAAAACGTAGCGCTGCGTAATCATAAAATAGCCAGTACGTGGAGCGCCGTGCACTATTTCTTATGGTTGCAGTATGAATGGGTCGACTCGACCGGGGAAGAACCACGCTCTCACAGAATACCAGCGTAAAATAGCAGCTTATGTGCTGTGACAACGCATCTATATTTGATTCTTAATCGAGTATAGATGAAGGTGTAGACTGGGTGCTCGTTTGTAATCGTTATTCTATAATAAAACGTGTCCTCTTTTTCCACTGGTCATTAAGGCGGCGCACTCGTTACCCCCTAGTTAGCACAAACTACGATAATAATAGCGATAGTTTATCAGTTGGGGTTGTCCAGCACGACCTTTAGTGTCGGCTCACCCGCGGTCGTCTGCTGATAACGCCTCCTATAAATTACCTAACAATATCTCACGGTACAATAAACAGAAGACAGTACGCGTTCAGACTCCCTCGTGAACACAGTTCTCGTTTTATTTAAAACTATTTAAACGCTCCAATTTTGCTTGTCATTTATTTTCAAATCGTTTTCATTTCTCTTGCCCAATGGCTAAATTCGTTAATTACAGTGACTTTCTCTCTCCTTTTTAATAATTTGTGCGAATAGACGAAATACTGAACTTTAAAAGGACTTGAGTGTGATACAGTGTCTCAGGTTTCTTTAAAATTCTCACTGGCAGTAGCATACATGCATTACTATTTGAACGAGCTTCTACAAAAAATGACAATTACGTTAATGTACCGCATCAACCCTATCTATTATTCGGACTATTCGGATACGATCTAAAATCGATTTTCAAATTATTCTCAACAAATTCTTACCTTTGTCATTGGCTCTACCATTTCGAATATTACAAGTTTGGTGTCTATCCAAAAGATATTACTTGACGCTTTGCACCTGCAGCAACCTTTTTTCAAAGGATTAACAAATGGATATCGTGGCAAATGTAAGTTGTTCACTTTCTAATCAACCCAATTACATTCAGCCGGCAACGGTATCGTTTATCTAGTTTTGTTATACTAGCGAGCGTGATCGGGTCAAAGTGTATCGCGAAGCTTCAAATACATAGAATGTGTTGGTAACAGATAATATTATTTGCTTGCAGTACCACCCTGTCTTCAAGGCGTTCCTTGCGGGATCGTTCTCGGGTACTTTCAGTACGATACTCTTTCAACCGTTGGACCTGGTTAAGACGAGATTGCAAAATCCAAATCAACATGTTGTTGCAGCGACTGTCAAGTGAGTATCACACAAAGTATAGTAGGAATATAGAGAAAGCAGTTAAACAATAAAATACATTTTAAAATTATTGTTATATAGCTTACCTACATATATATCGTGTAGTAAGAGGCGACAGAGGGAAACAAACCAGGAGATGAGCATCAGTATTTTTTTTTATAGGATAAGGGTGACAAACGAGCACACAGTCCACCTGATTGTAAGTGGTTGCTGCGGCCCATAGACATCTACATCTATCCTCGTTTGCGAATTAAAATGCAGATGCGTTGTCACCCGTGAGGACTAAGATGGAATGCCTCTTTTCCAGTAAAAAGGGTCTCCGGTTCTCTACACTCACCGTACGAAAGCAGCAGCATTAAGCTGCCATTTTACGCTGGTATTCTGTGAGAGCGTGGTCCTTCCCCGGTCGAGCCGACCCATTCGTGCTACAACTATACTTTCAATATAGCTGCAGCATGGCTCTACCACGTATATCCTTTTCCGTAACTACGCAGATTTTCTAGTGCTTGGTTAATCGGCACTTAAACTTACATTTAACAATTTTATTGATTTACTATTGTTGGTGCTGGCTTAAAAATTAAAACGAGCTTCTCACTTGAGCTGCCATAGATCGTACCTTGTATTAACAATTATAATCTAAACACAGCAGCCGAATTCAGCCCGGGATGATAACAATCTTCGCGAACATCGTCCGACAAGAACACATCGCCGGACTATGGCGTGGAATGGTGCCGTCTATAGCTCGCTGCGTACCCGGAGTGGGCCTTTACTTCTCGTCGCTTCACTGGCTGAAGTCCAAACTTGGGAAGGAAAACCTCGGACCCATGGAGGCGGTGTGTCTCGGAGTTTTAGCCAGATCTATGAGCGGAGTCGCCTTGATTCCTATTACAGTTATAAAGACTAGGTAAGTTTTAACTTAATTTTGATCGTAATAATATATTTCAGACACTGCCTCGTTAGTCTAGTGATCGTAGCCGCGGTTGCTGATCGTGAGGTTCCGGGTTCGAATCTCGGGTCGGGCCAAAATCAGTTATTGAGTTTTTACTGTAACAAATTCTCATTGGCGGCCCGGAGTCAGGAATTTGGCGGTGTTTCATCCCCGTGGCTTAGAAAGCACGTAGGTTTCGAATTGCCGTCCAATCGGACTATGAGAGTGAGGGAATGTAGTGCACCTGTGCTTGTGCACACACTCGACCACTATAATACTGTTTTGAGCCCGAGGATGCTAGTATGCGTTGAGACCGGCCGCCGTGACCGATATCGGTCTGGAGGACGTTGTTATTATTTTAAATTTATTTCAGAGCAAAATAGACCGGCGATGAGGAGTTGAGTGAAAGGTGTGAAAGTTCTCTAACAGTGTCAAGCGTTGGTGATTACGCTAAATCTTCCTTCCATGTAAGAAAGGAATATGTCTAACTTAGGGGACGATATCAATTATCAATCTCAAACCAACTTAGGCGTAGCTATAAGATCAACAAGACAGGCAAGAACTCATTTGAGATAATTATGTCCTCATGAGTAATTTTGACCCGTGTAGCAGCGATTTAAGCTTGTCCACTACCCGTGTCGCAAGAGGCGATAGAGGGAAACCAACGAGAAGTTGGGCAGAAGCGTTTTGCTAATAACGACCAGAAAAAAAAATTAACTGCGGTCGTCAATTCGTCTGCAAATTATGACGCAATATACGGGAAGGTCTATGTTCAACAGGGGACTTTGACAGGCTGTGTGATATGACCCTGGCGAACGGCCGAAAATGGTGTGTTGGTTTAAATGACCAACTGCTGGTTCAGAGTTATTAAATGGATGATTATACGTAGTTAATGGACTGTAGGTTGCGGTGCTAAATAACTATTTCGCAATATTGCAAATGCCCCTGAAATTCGAACTACAGGAAGGATGTGAAAGAATGCATGTGCACTCAACTGGACTTTTGCCAATCTGCCTCGTGTCTCAAGGGCTGCGGCCACGATGATTGTATGCCGGCTGTCTTCACACATATAAACTTCACAGATATCGAGAAATATACCGCTATAGCAAATGTCTATACACTACTATATTTTTGTATAGTTTAACATCTAAATTACACAACGGCGGGTGCGATGACACGAGATATAGGCGATGCGGTTGATTGCGTGTCTTCTGTGCTATCAGCTACGTGTGCTTGCTGCGTACGAGAGTCTATCACCCATTCTGTCCCATGGGTGTGCGTAAGAGTCGACTATGGGTAATGTGCACTGCCGCTCCAATTCCAGACAAATAAAGTCTTAAAGGAATTCCTCTTGGTCTGTAATAAGAGTGAAATAACACTGACTTTTGTACCTTGTGTGTTATCCCACACGGAACTGTGGAAGATTTTAATAGTTTATGTACATATTTGTTTACACAGGTACGAATCTGGAGTATATAAATATAACAGTTTGAGTGGTGCTCTAAAGACTATATACAAAGCTGAGGGCATAAAAGGCCTGGTCTGCGGTTTGGGACCAACATTGGCCCGAGACGCTCCATTCTCCGGCTTGTACCTGATGTTCTACACGCAAACCAAGCAGGCATTACCTAAGGGTAAGTTTGTGTTTGATTTACTAAAAACATTGAATACTGACTTAACGTGGTCGAACTGAATTAATGGGTCGGCTAGGTGGAGGGGGGGGGGGAGTACGCTTTCATAGATTATCAGCATAAAATAGCAGCATATTGCTGCTTTTCCTTTGATGAGTGTAGGAAACCGGAGGCCCATTTTACTCGTAATAAGGCCTTCTATCCTAGTTCTCATGGGTAACGTCGCATCTGCATTTAGATTATAATAGGTGATAGATGTCATGTGTTTATTCATCAGGTGGAATGTGCCCATTATTTTCATTTCTTTTATGTATAAAAAAAAACACATAAACACTCACGCCTGTCACCCAGAGGGGTAGGCAGAAACTACGGACTTCCATTTGGCGCGATCCTGACACACCTCTCTCGCCTCCTTTACATCCATATATCTATGCATACACGCTCGTCGGTTGAGGGTACTCCTAATCTGGCCCATTTTCAATATATCGCCAATTTGGTCGATAAACTTTCGTCTAGGGCGTCCTTTCCCGACGCCGCCGTTCACATCTGCGACATGGATTTGTTTTATCGCTCTTTCCTCGTTTTTATATTTATACCTTACATGTGTTGGGATGTCCCACTAGTCGAATTTCGCCCATAACGATAGATTTCCCCACTCGAATCGTTGCAACCCGTCCTAATTCCACAGCCGAACAAAGGCATGCATCGACTTCCTGCATCTCTTACCAGGTCGACGCAAATAGAATTTTATGATTACACGTTACTCATGTATAGGTTTAAAATAGATTATCATATTATGGCGTTAGTTACTAGTTTTATTATAACTACGAAAGTCGGACACTGTCTCCTATTAAATTAAATATTATGTTAAGATAAAGTTAGCTCACCTATTCATTATACGGTAAATTTACAACTTGATTCCCGTTCGTTGTATGTTGTTTTATCAGTATAGTAATTTTCTAGAAATTATCAAGTTGGCGTCAAAAATTCAAAGTGTTCGTGAGGTAGATAACCGTAAATAATAATCCGAGTTTTTCTATTTCTAAAAAAACCGTAATGTATTTATTTTAAAGATACGACATTGAAATGGATACATGTGGTAAAATTTTTGTACAACCGACTTCAATATAAATTATTAAGGATAACTACTGGTCAGATCTTGATCAATTAGATTATATGGAATTATCTCAGTATATGGGACCACACGAGAAGCACCAGCTTTCAAATAAAAAAAAAGGAATCATCAAAATCGGTTCACCTAGAAAAGAGTTATGAGACATAAAAAATACAGTCGAATTGAGTACCTCCTCCTCTTTGAAGTCTGTTAAAAATAACACTTAAAAAAATGCGACATTCTACTTTACTGTTTGGTTAAAATTCATTTAGTTGATCTTGATCTAGTGGGCCAAAAATCAGTATTTTCGTTCAAGAAATTCTTAGTAGAACCACGGATAATAAATATCAAAATTCCAATATGCAAAAAATACTATTAAAAATATATTATTTATATTTAATTACAAAAAGTGTTGAGTTTAATTGAATAGTCTTTTTCAATACAGAAGGTACTTAGCCGCGGCGCCAGTCTTCGCGAAGTTTGAGATTTTCCGTCAAATTCTAAGGCTTCTCATGTGGTCCCATATAAATTTGATCAAGGTGTGATCAATAGTAGTGAGATAACACACATAAAAAAAAACATAGTCGAATTGAGTACCGGCTCCTTTTTGGAGTTTGTAGAAAATTGTGGTACTACTCTATTGAAACTTGCTCTAGATATAATCTGAGATTAATTAGTTCATGTAATAAGACGGACTTAGTCTTAGTTGCGGCGAATTCTATAAAATACAGTAAATTACTTTATGCGTTAAAATTTTATTACCTACCTATAAAATATTTATAGTTGAGAAATTCTTCGCTAGTAAAATGATAAAAGTCCTGCGATAAAACTTGCTATTAAAATTAACGCGAACGCCATTTTAAAATTAACATATTTAAAGATTAGATTTAAATGCGGTACGTAATAAACGACTACTATAATATATATATAACAGGTTCTCTGTCCGCTAAATAGACACAATAGTTAAACAATCGAAATGTTCATATATGATTCATGGGACAGGAAATGGGTTAAGACGTTAACACCGTAAACGTTTAAAAGTCTTCAAAAGTCATGTGATGCAGTGATGTATTTAGGTTGATACTTCATCATCATCATCATTATAGTACACCTCTCATAGCTCGCTGAGCGATCTTAAACACTTAACATGACTTAACCAATTGGATTGTAAGTTCGTTTGTCACTAACTTTAAACGTAGTGATTATATACTCTTTGGTCACTTCAATCTTAAAAAAAAAAACAGATATTTCTGATTTAACAATTTAACCCTCGATGACGTATGTAGAGTCGATGAATGCTGGCCACGTACCACGCTGTGTGACAGTCTATAAGGAAGCAGTAAGTTTATTTTTCTACCGACTTCAAAAAAGGAGGATGTACTCATTTCAACTGTTTTGTTTTTCTATGCGTGTTTCCTCATAACTTTTTCTGGGTGACCCGATTTCGTTGATTCTTTTTTTATTTGATAGCTGGTGCTTCTCATGTGGTTTCCCATATAAATTTGATCAAGGTCTGACCAATAATTTTTGAGTAATTCTTAATAATTTATGTTGAAGTTGGTTGTACAAAATTTTTAAATTTTAATTATTAATCGACTTCAAAGAGTAGGAGGTTCTCAATTCGAGTGTTTTTTTCCGTATGTACGTTACGCGATATCTTCGCAGATTGTGAACTGATTTTAATTATTCTTCTTTTATTAAATAGGTGGTGCCATATAAGTTTGATGAAAAACTTCTACCCCCTAAGGATAGCAAATAAATAATTTCATTTTTAGTAATTTGTAGTCCGTTTTTACTTTTTGTTAAAAGTTATAATTATATTTGAAAGGGACTGTAATGAAGATAGATTTTAAATACATTGTACGTTGTTTATCTCGATGCCCGAGTTGCTTTTTCATTTTCGTTTTCAGAAGTTTTGGCCAACTTACAATCATGTACAAGATAATTTCACACGCTACAGTGACAAATGTTATGTAATTTTAACTACGCGTCATACCTCAAGTTATGTATCACATTACCACTTTAACGTGTACATCACGACAGCAAAATAAATTCATGACATTTTATAAGTTAAATTTTATTCAGAATCTTACTGAATACTAGCTGTTCCCCGCGACTTCGTCCGTGTGGAATTTATTACGATTGTATTTAATAGCTTTTAGTTTTTTTTTTTTTGCGCGGAACGCTAATTCTTTTCACAAAAATAAAAGAATCCTAAGTTACTCCTTATAACATCAGCTATCTGCCAGTGAAAGTCTCGTCAAAATCGTTCCAGCCGTTTCGGAGAATAGCCAGAACAAACGTACAGATAATAATTTTTAAAATTGTTCTTTTATTTTAAGTAGATACCATACATACTTTCATATATGCATTTGGTAAAAAGCTGTTATTTTGACATTACTTAAACAAGTACAAGAGACTGTACAACCAGTGCGTGTTGCCAGTGATGACCTATGGAACTGAGACATGGTCCTTCACTGCTACCCGGATGAGGAAGCTCAAGGTCACTCAGTGAGCTATGGAGAGGGCTATGCTCGGAGTTTCTCTGCGTGATAAACTTAGAAATGAGGATATCCGCAGTAGAACCAGAGTGACCGACATAGCCCAACGGATTAGTAAGCTGAAGTGGCAATGGGCCGGCCATATAGCTCGAAGAACCGACAACCGATGGGGAAAAAAGGTTCTCGAGTGGCAGCCTCGTACCGGCAGGCGAAGTGTAGGGCGTCCCCCCACTAGATGGAGCGACGAGCTGGTAAGATATGCAGGAAGTCGATGGACGCAGGTGGCTCGGGACCGTGCTTTGTGGCATTCCTTGGGGGAGGCCTATGTTCAGCAGTGGACTTCTGAAGGGCTGTAATGATGATGATGATGATGGTAAACAAGAAATAAAAATAGAAATGGCGTAGTGGCGGTGTAAAACTGTTCACTACCCCATGTCGTTACCGTGGGTGTCGTAAGAGGCGTTAGAGATAAATAAACCAGAAGGTGAACAGCAGCGTCTTCCTAATAACATCCAAAGATATAACTGCGGTTTCCAAACCGGCCTGCCAGGCGTAGCGACTATGGCAAACAATCTATGATGGAAGCCTATGTTCAACCGTGAAATTTTGATAGACTGTAAATTTAATTGTAAATAACAAAAAAAAAACTGTAAGAAATGTAAAGGGAGTGGGAAAGAGAGAGATTACAATATAACATGTAGGTTAGGTTAGGTTAGTGTTAAATGAATAGTCATCTCCCGAGTAGGGCACTGGTGGGACCGCGGATGTGTGCGAAAGCGTCCCTATGGCTCTGCCAATATGCGACGAAGGTGGAGTACCATGGGATTTTAGTCGGTGAGAGTTCGACATAACCAGTCCTTGGCCCCGCGAGGTGGATATGCGTAGGCATTTCCCCATGTCAAAGAAAAAAAAGTGATAAATGAATAAATAGTGTTACATTTTACAGAATGGCTAAACACCCCAAGCACAGCGAGCGTATTACATTTCTCGTGTGGCGTAGTGGCCGGTATTGCCGCATCTTTGGCGACCAACCCGGCCGACGTCCTGAAGACGAAGATGCAGCTTTACCCTGACAAGTTCCCGAACGCGTTTAGTGCAGCCGTCTACATTCACCGGGTGAGATAAACAATCTTTTTTCCATTCGTTCGTATTTAAATTTGAAAGGTTGCGCTCACCACATATTGCTTGCCATGCAGGACGGAATAAGCGATTATGGAAAATACCGAAAAGAGTTTGTCTTCACACAGACGGTAGTATGACATTTATATGCCTGACACAAGATAGCAAATTGCTGAAGTGGAGCAGTGTCAAATGATAAGAGATGTCTGGTACTCGATTGCTAATTCGCAAGCGTGGATATCAGGCTTGTTTTCATTGATAGATATTCATACGCATTTGTGATGGGGGGGGGGGGGGGGTTGGGATTTCTAAAACATACCATAAGGTCTTTATTCAGGAAAACATTTTTCATTAGTCGATAGAGAACGTATTCGAGATTCTAGAGATTTATTAAAAGCGTGCAAGCCGCGCGTTTGGGAAAACTTTTTCATTGGTCCATAGCTTTGGGGTGTGGGAGATTTCTAAAACATCAACTGGAACTTTCATTCAAGCAAATTTTGCAGACATGTGGTTTGTAGTATTGTCCCACAAATCACATTTGTCCACCTGATATCAATTTGATGCTTTGGCTCATAGACATCTACATCTATGAAGACTAAGATGGAATGCCTGTTTTTCAGTAAAAAGGGTATCCGGTTGTCTACACTTACCATATGAAATACAGCTGCAATACGCGGTTATTTTACTCTAGTATTCTGTGAGGGCGTGTTTTCTACCCCGGTCGAGCCGACTGAGCCGATATTATGGTAGTAGGTAGGTAGTAGCACAAATACAACCATAATGTGACTGCAGCGTGGCACGTATAACAAAGGTGCAGCGCAGGAAATTTCCTTGGCTTAAAACCTTCCCAGAAATGAGAGGCATCCTCAGTAGATGTAAGAAATGACGCCTAGCAGTGGAACGTTTGTATTGTAACTGTACTTTGTTTCTTTTACACATTTTCAATATGACAAAATTTCAATCACGATCTCGGCGTGTGGTGCCTGGGTCAAGACGATTTGTTAATTGTACGTTTTTTTTTAACAATTAATAATGTATGATATAACTATCTGCTTCATTAAATCTTTACGGGTGACTAGAGTTTATCATCATGTAATAAATAACTTAATGATCAAATAACGTTATCACTTGCGTGACTTTTAGAACATAAATTCTGAATTGTGTTTTTGTCTAAACAGTAGTTAGGTATTTCATGATAGCACTAATGTGGACCACACTCGCAATGTATACCGGCGTGTTTCTATTTCAATAGAAAAAGGGTCTAAATAATGTTCCATACAGATATGGATAGATTCTTCTTTTTTTGCCAGTAAATATACTAATATAAATAGTAGTGCCTTTCGGTCTAAAGAGGTATAGAGCACCGGTATAATTACATTTACAACGTATTTTATATAATCAATATGCCTTTTATTGTAATTTACACCTAAGAAATCTTATATTAGATCTTCACAGGCAACGCTCACTTCATGTCTAGGTATATATTCATCGAATTGTAATAAAGCCAAGAGGGGGAGCCAGGAGACCCATAGCTCAGGGTTACCTAGTTTGGGCCTCTAGTCTAGTCTTGTCTATTTTTGTAAGAAATAAAACTGTATAAAAAGTGGGAGAAATAAATAAATATTATATATAAAATATTATTTACTTCTACGTTATCATATAAGTGACGACTGTGTTAATGAGAAGTTCTTAAAACACATAAGTTTATTTTGCTTTTGTTGCACAATTCTTTAGACCTGAATATGCTTGAAATTGTTTCAATTCCATGAAAACGCAAAGATTCATCTTTTATGTGTGATATCTCATCTTTTCAAAACAGACGCCTTTTTCAACCGACTTCAAAAAAAGGTGGAGGTTCGCAATTGGACTGTTTTTTATGTTTGTTACCTTAGAACTACTTTTCTACGTGAACCGATTTTGATTCTTTTTTATTTGAAAGCTGATGCTTCTCATGTGGTCGCATTTAAATTTGATCAATATCTGACCGGGTTACCCATAATTCGACTACATTGATGATGTTCTCATTTTATTTATATTGAAGTCTGTTGTGCAAAATTTTTAATTTTACCACTTGTAGAACATTTTATTGTAATGATTATAAATTGCGTGTTCTAAAATATGTATGTACCTACTTATTGGATTTTATTTTATTTTCAGACTTATGGCGTACAAGGTTACTTCAAAGGCGCCGTTCCAAGAATGTTACGCAGGACCTTAATGGCAGCAGTGGCTTGGACAGTGTTTGAAGAAATAACTCGATCTATTGGCTTAAAATGACCGCACATAATACTCGAACAATTCGATTTGTGAAACAAATTTGGTGAAACTTAGCACTTTGATGGTGCATGGTTCCTTAGTAGTTGGTATATGTGTGACGTTGGTGAAATAGGGTGACAAATTATTTTGTTGATGTACTGTCTTATTTATAACTTCCTAAGGAAAGAAATAGTTTATAGCAACAATAATTTCTGTTTATACTTTTTACATATTATGTTATAATGGATATTAGTCATTAGCCAATAGGTTGAGTGATATTATAGATATAATATAATATTATAAATATTTGTGAATCTGTTATCTAATATAAGAGGACCATTTTACTAATTGCGTTGTTATATTTTAAGTAATAAAATAACTGCCGACTGCCTCGTTGGTCTAGTGGTTGTAGTAGTGCGACTGCTGATCATGAGGTCCCGGGTTCGAATCCCGGGTCGGGCCAAAAAAATCAGTTATTGAGTTTTTCTATCAAGAAATTCTCAGTAGCTGCCCGGAGTCAGGAAGTTGGCGGTGTCTCACCCCCGTGCCTCGGAAAGCACGTTAAGCCGTTGGTCCTGCGCCTAATCTCTCTCCGGTCGTGTCGGTTTACCGTCCCATCGGACTATGAGAGTGAGGGAATAGAGAGTGCACCTGTGCTTGCGCATACACTCGGGCACTATAATCCTGTCCTGCGCAGATGGCTAGTCTCCGTTGAGGCTGGCCGCCGTGACCGAAATTCGGTCGGGAGGACATTATTATTATTATTATTAATAAAATAATAAAAATTATAAAAAGATGATTTGTTTTTATTCATTAAGTAACAAAACTGTATTTTTACATATATACAAAAACATACTAACAAAATGATTTTCCTATTATTTTCCGTTTCATAGAAACTCTAATCCTTCATATTTTAAATTTTCTATAAACATATCTTGCAGTAACACTTTTCCATCAGTTTTAAATGCAGTTATGTAGGTTGCAGTTTTCCCTTCAAATTCTGTGGTTTTTAAAGCGACTATAGCCTCGTCCTTCGACCCGGGAATGAACTTGAATGAAGAAAAGCCATGCTTTGGTTGATGTTTCGTTATCTGAAAAAAAAAACATGCACAAGGAATAACATTACACAAATTCTGTTTACTATTTCTAATTTTAGTTTTAGCTGAAATATAATATGATAGACACCTCTTACTGTACGGAAAAAAAATATATATAATATGTATAAACAAAAGAAGAAGGAAAAGAAATGTGTTACAATGGGTAGCCTAATTCCTAAAATTGATTTCTTCTAGAGAACCTTTGAATGGGTATTTCTGGTTTTGCGAGACGATTAGATTATTTAGACAAATTGTGTAGAAAAGCAACAGTGAGGGACCATTATACCTCTGTATTACACACGAAAACTTTCTTTTATTTCAACTATATATTATGTAATAAATGCCATTTTATCAAAATGTGGTAGAGCCATACTGCAGCTATATTGGTAGTATAGTTGTACCACAAATGGATCGGCTCGACCGAGGAAGGATCACGCTCTTACAGAATACCAGCGTAAAATAGCATCTTAACACTGCTGTGTTTCTTATGGTGAGTTTAGAGAACTGGAGATCGTTTTTACTGGAAATGAGGCATTCCATCTTAGTCCTCACGGGTGACAAACGCATCTGCATTCGCAAACGAGGATAGATGTAGATGTCTATGGGCTACAGCAACCACTTACCATCAGATGGACTGTGTGCTCGCTTGTCATCACCCTTATACTATAAAGTCCTAGTATTGATAATAACTAAAAATACAAAATTATATAAAATAATTTTAAAAAATTATGAACGTGGCTTTAATCACTAATCCAAAAGGTTCCCACGGCTGGGGTCACACTAAAAATCAAATTTTGGTTTTAGCTGAAACAGAAGCAAAAATTGGAGACAAAATGCAACCTCTGCACCTACTATTATTTCTATGAGTTTAAATGATGATGGTATTTCGACCTGTGGGGTGTCGTAAGAGAATACTATGGCTAATTCGAAAAATGACTACCAATAGTACCAGTAATAGGTGGATAGGTTCACTTAATCGTATCGCCTTCCTAAATCGATGAATGCAAATGTCTATTTGTTTATGTGTATATATGGCCGACTTGATGGACAAAGAGGGACTCTATGATAAACTCTTTCTTTCAGAAGCGGCCCCACAAGAAGTGGACCTGGTCGAGCCCCGACGGTTTGACAAAAAATGAGATTGACTTCATTATGACAACCAGACGACAACTGTTCACTGTCTCAATGATCGCGAGGGTGAAAACTGGTAGCGATCACCGCATGATTAGAGGCATATTGAACCTAAACGTTAAGTTGGAGAGGTGTTGTCTAATGAAGTCAACGGTCCGTCCCCTTCGTGCTCTAGTCCAAAGTCCCGAAACCTTTCAGCTCGAGTTACAAAACCGTTTTCAGTGCCTAAAAAACTGCCATGAAGTGGAAGATATGAATGACAAGCTCGTGGAAACTGTCCATGCGGTCGGAGCTAAGTTCTGCAAGACCCGCCGCAGAAAAACACAAAAACTCTCCGATCACACTCTTAATCTCATGGCTGTTAGACGGGAGATGAAGCTATATTCTTCAACAGATTTGACAACATACAGGCAACTGAACAGACAGATCTCCAAATGCATGCGGCGGGACTTACGCAACTACAATACAGCTCGTATTGAAGAAGCGATCGAGCAGAACCAAGGCTCCAAAGTCTTTGCCAGAGATCTGTCTGCCAGAAAGAGCCAACTGTCGAGCTGAAGACCGAGTGAGCAGGGTCGATTCCGGGACTTAAGTTCGTCAGAGTCTCTTTAATTCCGTCCTCGATGGTGGCGTGGAGCAGAAGGCGGTGGTCTTGTTCTTCAAGAAAAGCGACAACGCTTTCTTGAAGAACTACAGACCAATTTCCCTTCTGAACCGCGTCTACGTGTTCTTTTCGAGAGTCATTACGAATCATCTCGCACGCAGACTCGACGACTTCCAGCCTCCCGAACAAGCCGGTTTCCGAAAAGGCTTTAGCACCATAGACCACATACATACTCTTCGGCAAATTGTACAGAAGTTCGAGGAGTACAATTTGCAACTATGTCTGGCATATGTAGACTATGAGAAAGCCTTTGATTCCATCGATATTTGGGTGGTGCTGCAGTCCCTTCAGCGGTGCCAAGTTGACTGTCGGTATATGGTAGAGCTGAACGGTTTGTACAGTAGGGTTACGATGGCTATCCGAGTACAGAACCAGAGGTACGAAACCTATCCAACTGCAGAGAGGGGTGTAAGACAGGGTGACGTTATATCCCCGAAACTCTTCACCGCTGCATTGGAAGACGTTTTCAAGTTAGTCCAGTACTAGAAAGGATACGGTATTAACATCAACGGCGAGTACATCACTCACCTTCGATTTGCCGACGATACAGTCCTTATGGCACAATCGCAGGAGGACCTAAGCGTACTGGTATGCTTAATGACCTCAATAGTACCTCCCAACGGATAGGTCTTAAGACGAACACGGACAAAACAAAGATCATGTATAACGTCCATGTCACACCTATGCCGGTAGTTGTTGGAAACACTAAGGTCGAAGTTATTTATGAGTATGTTTACCTGGGACAAATAGTCCGACTAGGTAAGTCCAACTTCGAACGAGAGGTCAATCGACGGATTCAACTCGGCTGGGCAGCGTGCGAGAAATTACGGCACATCTCGTCAGGTATACCTCAAAACTTGAAAACGAGACTGTACAACCAGTGCGTGCTGCCAGTTATGAACCTATGGAACTGAGATGTGGTACTTCATTGGTGGCTGTATGAGAAAGCTCGAGGTCGCTCAGCGATCTGTGGAGATGGCTATGCTTGGGGTTTCTCTGCGTGATAAACTTAGAAATGAAGATATCCGCAGTAGAACAAGTGTGACCGACATAGCTCAACGGATTAGTAAGCTGAAGTGGCAATGGGCCGGCCATATAGCTCGAAGAACCGACAACCGATGGGGAAAATGGTTCTCGAGTGGCGGCCTCGTACCGGCGGACGAAGTGTAGGTCCCCCCACTAGATGGGAGTGACGACCTGGTAAGACATGCAGGTGGCTCGGGACCGTGCTTTGTGGCAATCCTTGGGGGAGGCCTATGTTCAGCAGTGGACTTGTGAAGTGGTGTATTGATGAAATGATGACGATGATATGCTACGTGTAAGTTCTAGTAATACACTGGTCGTACGAATGGGATTGCGTACGAACATCTCTACCTTCCAACGCCGATCTGGACACCGCAAATCGACGTTGCGTCAGACGAGTTGATTGCGTTGCATACGATAAGTGTGTTTTTAATGTAAGTACAGTTTTTCCTACAAAATCATGATTCCAGATGTCATAATGCGTACGTGGGGCCAGTTTGTCTCTACTACGTGACCAAAACAATGATGCGCATGACTGCTAAGAAGTCATTAGAACTAAGGAGGGAACACCGGACGGTCACTAGGAAGATCGCGGGAAGAGGCGTAGTGCAGGCGCCGAAACCGTATTTTGGCCAAGTTGTACCTTAAAACACAATAATGTATACTATACTAATTGAAATGATGTGCTTCTTAGACAGAACAATTAAGCATGCGTCATTGTAAAAAAAATATTTCGATTATAGCTGTTCAAACCTTCACCTTATACCTTAAATCAAACCTTTTTGCTTCGGTCAAACGGGCTAAAAGTTTTTTTTTTATAGGATAAGAGTGACAAATGAGCACAAAGTCCACCTGATCTAAGTGGTTGCTGCGGCCCATAGACATCTACATCTATGCTCATTTGCGAATCAAAATGCAGATGCGTTGTCACCCGTGAGGACTAAGATGGAATGCCTCATTTCCAGTCAAAAGTACATGAAATCAGTCAAGTGGCTAAATTTCACCCGCATACTCTTAATTAAGACGACGCCTGTGTATTATTTACAGGCTGTTGAAAAATTTAATCTTATATTACACATTCATCAGCTTATTATGATAGAAGAGAAAAAAGGATTACCTCTACAGCTTGAATGTTTTTAAAATCACTGTCTGCAGTTATTAAATAATTGCATCCCATCACTTCATCCTTAGTTTCATTGTACGACTCGTGACTGCATCTCCTAGGCAAGAAATGCCACTTCTTTGTAACAGGAGACCAGACTCCAGATTCGTGGATCATATAACCTGGCCATTGAATGCCTATAGAATTCCTTACAGCCTTGTATTGATTAACCCAACTTAAGTGTTGTACCTGAAATGGTACTGTTATATTTCCTTTCTAATTTTTTGATCTATGCAAAATATTTTCTGACGAGGAACATCCTAGGAGTTGATGAAAAGAAGACTTACTAAATTGCGATTAATATAGAGATTTTACTAAACTGCTATTTACCACATGCTCGGTAGCAAAATGAAACATCATGGAGAAACTTGCACATCTAAGATGAAAAACATTGTTAATTTACAATTATGAATGAGGAATACATAGCGACATGAGTTGTGAGCTCAGCCTTGTTATGTTAATCTTAATCATTCATTGGATAATCACGTGGCATTAGCCCCCAAAGCGGTTTACATGTATGTATATATATATATATATGTTAAATAGGAGGGTCTAGAGATACAGGGACAAAAATTTGTTATTGCGAAAATATTGGTTCTACGTATAATTCTCAACCCATTACAAATAAAAACGTGCTTTTAGAGCACTATCTAAAAATACCATAAAAATGGGCTTATAGTTCACATACAATTTTTTTTTGCTGTAATGCACATGAAAATATAACCATAGTTATACAGAAAATGACCAAAGTGAAATTTCGGCAAAATTAGTTACATACATCATCGTGAACTAAATTTTTTGTTCTATATTCTGCATAAGATGATTGAATTTTCACTGTCAACCTATTCAATTTAATCTATGTGACTCATTAAAATCAAATTTATTTATTCAGCAGAAAAAGATCAAGATTCGCCCAAGCTTTAGTCGGGTTCTGAAAAAAAAAGTATGCTATACTATATTTTATTATTTCGCTGAAAACGACCAGACAGTTGGTCGTATTTAGCAATTTAATTTATTTTAGATATCTGTTTTTATTGGTTGTTTAAACAGAATTTTTAAACCAAACATATGGTAGTTAGATTATTTTGCTGGAAGCAATAGAAGTGTGCAGTGCAAAAACAATTTACTTGAAATAAATGTACATACATTTTTTTAAATTAAAATTTAGTACAATTGACGGCTCTGTGGCGCAGTGGCTTAGCTTCAGTTGTTGCGCTGGGGGCCGCGGGTTCGAATCCCGCACGGAACAAGTATTTGTATGGCCTACAAATAATTGTTCCGGGTCTGGATGTTTGTCCTTGTGCAATTTATGTTTGTAAATTGCCTCCACGACACAGGAGAAAATCCTAGTGTGGGGGTAACGTTTTAAAAAATAAAATTAAAAAAAATTAAAAAAAATGCTGAGATGCTTAAAATTTAATATTGTAATTCAGCAACAGACTACTATGAATATGGTTGTTACAATTATTTTGCAATTTCAGAAACTACTCATTTTGCAGAATAATATGTCCTACTATTTTATGTTTAGGTTTTTTCCAATAAAGCGACAATAAATTTATATTAAATTGGTTTGATATCCTCACTAATACTACTTTCTACCAATGTACTTCATTAAACACTAGTAAAACACAAAAGGTAATTCATAAGAAATTGTTAAAACTTAAGACCTCTTTATCTTAAAACTGAAAATAAATTATTGGTCGCTTTCTGTATAACTATGGTCATAATATTTCAAGGTTGCATGTAAGTTTAAAATATTATGTATGTTGTGGATTGTAGGTCTTTAGTTTAATTTGCATGAAAATATTTTTTTAATCATTCAGGTTTTAAACTGAATATTTACATATATATATATATATATATATATATATATATATATATATATATATATATATATATATTACACAGATATTAAGTTATCTAGTTCAGACACAGATGTTCACTGAATTGTATTTATTTATTGTTAAGCTGTATCTCAAAGTGTTTGTATCCTAGAAACTAAGATATATTTTTTGCTTGAAATAATAAATTATTATTATAATTTAATTACATGTTGAAACAAATATTCAAAAATATATTGTGATTGATATTGATTATTACCTCTCCATGTATATTAATAGCTTTTACCCACATTGGGTCATAGCTCTGGAATTCTCCACTTGCTGTTGTCCATTCCTTGCCCATTGAACCAACATACAGAATCTCGTCTTTTATTGTCGCCCACTCTGACTTGAAACCTTTTTCTGCATGACCATTTCCATCAGGCAATATCACCCATGGCACCATTTTATTGTTAAAGATCTCAAACACCTGTGAAAAAATTAAAATACAATTTTACTTAGTGGCTATATTTAAGATTAATTAATATCAGCATTTCAAAATTATCTTCTATCAGCTTGGCAATGGCATCATTTTAATTATTTAATCTAAAATTGCTAACATTCAACTTCTCAGATCCTGCCATTGTATTGGACCAACTCCATCAGACCTGTGGTAAGACCAAGGTCAATAATATTATATTTTACTCAAAACCAAACCAATGGAATCTTTGCAGCAATAATAACAGTGCCATTGAATAAACTAGGTTGGCTACGTATGTCGATGTAGAATTTGACTAACCGTATAGGATGCGCGGTTACAGAATTACTTCATTGTATAAAAACAACATAGCAGTTTAAAATCAATAGATAGATACAAAATTAATAGGTGAATACTCCCATTTTAGAGGGTTTCAAGTAACTTGGCAACTTTAAGGTAGAAATCTGGTCAAAGAAATCTTATAAATGAAATAATTCAGTAACATTGTTTAAATGGTTTGTCAAGTACTGCATCGACCTGCGAAGCCGACATAATTTTAATAGTAAAGTAGCTTAATAGCGGAAGGTAGTCATTTGAAGTAAATTCTCCTAATTTATTTCTCATATTATCTTAATTTTTCTAATTTAGTAATGACACTAATTATAATAAAATTTTTAGAATATTAGTTGTATTATTCTCATAAATAACATTTAAAAAAGAATTGTTCTGAGGGGTCTACAAATGTGCCATACGCTCGATGTGTTGTACAGAGACTTCACAGATTAATACATAAAATATAATAATGATGAAGTCATGACCGGTTTTTTACCACATATAAATAATAAAACCCTATCAACTACCCAGGAGATATTAATGTTTATCCATTAATTATAGGGCACCCACTCATTGATTCATTTATTACACCCTTTCACAAGTTCACTACTCAACACAGGCTTCCCACAAGAAGTGCACAAAGCATGGTCTTGAGCCACCTGCATCCGTCGACTTCTTGCATGGCTTACCAGGTCGTCACTCCATCTAGTTGGGGGGGCCCCCCTATACTTTTCCTACCAGTACTAGGCTATCACTCGAGAACCTTTCTTCCCCATTGGCTATCGGTTCTTCAAGCAGGGCCTCCAATCTATTTAAATTTGTCTGCTGTCTATCTCTCTGTCCAGGTTAATCTTTGGAATTGCTGAACCAACTATAATGAAACTTCACAAACAGGTAGGTAGCAATGTCAGAAGTCATCGGTAATGATTTTTATCATAAAACTTATTTGTAGACTTAGAATAAATAAGTAATAAATATAAATAATAATAGGTATCAAATATACAAAATGAAACAATTTTGTAAACTGTAATATAGGCATAATGCTCTGCAAGCTCAGCTAGTTTAATATCCCTGGGTTTTTATAATCATGTTTTTCTTAAACACTGCATTTTCCATAATTAGTAAAGAAGTAATTTATAAACAGGGCTCTCAACTCGACAGTAAAGATTTTGTAGACCAACGTGATTACCCAAGTTGAGACACGGAAAAGAAAATATTACAAGATTACTATCATGTGTCAAATTTAAAAATGACTTACCATGCCCGAGCGATCATCAAATGTTAACAATCTTCCATCAAATACAATCAGTTCAGAGAGTTCCATGCCTCTTCCTTTATGAGAATATGTGGAAGAAAGTAGAATTGCTGGCTGGGTATCCCATGTCACAGATGCATATTGCTTTATGGGATCGTAACTTAACAAACCTTTTTTTAAATAACTATTGAATGTATTAGCCTTGGAATTACTCTTTGAATTGGTGTCTAAATCTGCAACTATTCCTATTCTATACGTTATAATATCACCCGACTTCAATGGTGGTGAAAATGGATATGTGGCATTGTAGGTTCTCGTAATACTTGTCCATCTATATGTAGAATGCGTCTGACTACTTGTCCACCAATTATAATAAAATAAAATTAGTAAAAGTAAGCCGATTAGTGCGACAAGAAACACAAATTGTGGTTGGATCCTTACAGCATTACCAACTCTATATGTGGCAGGAGTGCGGAGAGCCTTTCGCCAGTCACGAAAGGTACCTTTCATTTTACGATCGTCCAATTCGTAATAGTCGTACATAACGTAAAATAACTAATTCATTATTGTCAAATTTATATCACAGACAAATAAAAGGGCTATTAACAACCGAAGTATGTAACCTTTCCTTCTCATAATTTACTGAAAATGAAAGTGCACTTTGATTTGAATGTATAACAGGCAAAAGTGTAGAACATTTTGGAATTATCTAATCTCTGAACAATTTAGATTGGAATTTTAGTGTATGTACTCTGATTAGAATTTTGTATACGAAATACGAAATACGATGACTATGAAAGGAACTGATGCAGGGTTACCAACTTGTCAAAGAAAAATACCCCTATATAGTAGTACTCAGGATGAAATACCCCAAAATAACCTTAAATTAATAATTAAACCCCCTCTCCCCAAAAACCTGTAAGTATCCAAACGTGTATACAAAATGCTTTTTAGGCTAAATATTATGTATTTTTATTATTATATTATTCATTTACAACAATGTATAAAGCTATATGAAAAAATATAAGCTTAGCTTTTTAGTTATTTATATTTTTATTAGACACCAGTATTGAGAACTCTGACACATTCCTATGAGGTTACACATTGATAAAGATGTAACCGATATATTCGTATTCGTTAAGATATTGGTAATATTGGGTGGATTCATAGATTAGTAATCCAACGGATTCTGATATGCTAATATTCCATATTCACTTCATTTATACACTAACTGTTCAACATCGGTTGGATAATATCACTCGGCTCGACCCGACTGCTGATATTCGTGACGGATATCTGTATCATTCGTATCGTAAGTATAGCGGTGCAAGCGAGCTAGCCGAATGATCAAATGAATCAACCGATATGTGCGTTTGACGGGTATTCATTCTCTATTTTATAGTTCTTAGGGACTATTTTCAATTCGATATTTTATATCACGGCGACCAGCAGCGGGACTTTACAAATAAAACACTTTATAGATGTTTAAAATTTATTGACTCTAGGAGTTTTTTTAATAGTGTATATTTAAATTTATTTATTGTGATAAATTATGCTTGGTAAAATAAACTTATAACCTACATGAATAGAATAGTGATACGTATAATCGTTATATTAAGATATCAGTAATATTCATATATTAGTTTAAATATTATAATGTCACTTGACGAATATATTCATATTAACTAATACTGACAAATATCGGTATTAACCCATCTTTACACATTGAGCTCGTAAGCACATGGTATATAAAAACATCATCATATGCAGATAAGAAACGAATGATATTATGCAACAACAAATCAATACTAATGACAAACTAATATCGGGTATAGTTTGTATGTTTTTTGATGGCATCCTTGATTTGAATTGAATTCGTGTTATATATTTTCTAATTATTCATTGTTTGAAAAATTGCGATAGATTACTTAATGTACCGAAAACGAACTTTGATAAATTGTGCAACATGGTTTGTACGTTTATCTTCAGCAATAGGTGCCCCCGCAATAAAGCTATAATTAGTTTTCTTTCCAAATAAGTAAATCGTAACTTTTTTGAAGTGAAAGAATACAACACGTGTTATTATTTTCAAAACTTTAACCCAAAAACGAACTAAAACATAAAATATACTTACCCCATTTTGGGTAATTTCGTACTTCAATATAGGCGATGAACTAATATTTTAATATAAAGGCGAGGTAAAAAAATCTTTAAATATATATGGTGTGCATATTGAAAAAATAATTTCATTGGTTGAAATCATGGTTTCGACGTTTGTTTATCCGTGAGTTAAATCACGTGAGAACATCTTATATTATATCAAAACATTGCGTTGCTCCTATACTTATGTGAGTTTTGTTTGTGAATACAGGTGCGAGAGTAGTTTAATCCTTGCCTGCCTGTATTGCTTCATCAATTCGATGTAATATTTCGCAAACATTATATTTATTTGATATCTGTGCAACATACATCATATGAATATCACACTCTCTTTCTCTTCCTGTGATGCCAAAAATAGCTGGAAAGCAAGCTAGTTGAAATAATTATGACCTGCATGGAGAGAACATTATGTCAAAGAGAAGTAACTCACTCTAAATAATTTTCAGATGTCAAACATTGGCTTGTAGTCTTATTGCTTGGTTTGTTAGATAGCTTTGAGAAAAGATACATAATATAGCGTACATATAATAGGGCAACTTGACAAAATACAACAAACTACATCATAGATATTTTATCTTTTTAACGCGTTTGACCAGATTGTTGGTGCATTATTTTGTGATTCTAAAAATAGCCCTTAATCAATTTATGCCCCAAAAGAAAGTCAAATCCATAATTTTTTTTCCTAAGTTTGGGATTTAAAGTCATAAGTTGGTAACATTTGAACCAATGTCAAAATTAATGCTTGAATATTGTTTTTTATTCAAAGGCAAAGGCATAATATATGTTCATACAGCCTAGTCTGACGTGTTCACAATTCTTCACAATATATGCTGACACAACGGTTAGGGAAATTTTTGGATGATTTTCATTTTAACGATAAATATATCTAGGTTTACTTTATCAACTAAACTTTATCTAAACAGTTTTATGAATCAGTGGTTGATGACGGTAATAATCATAATAATATGTCAATCATTAATTTCTAGTACCCCAATCTTTCAAGTATTAATTTGCCACACAAGCCGGGTCATTGGGGTTGAGGTTGGTCATCCAGATGGATTATTCCGGATTTAAATATTTTGTGATTAATGAAACATGGTTCTGTTGGTCGTGGGTCGCGAACACCAGTCATACCATCGAACACAAACAAATACGAACTTAATTTTACCGATTTTATATTTATTGTAAAGTGTTAGGCGTTACGTTGCGGAAATATGTTATAATCTTAGACTATACAACCATTGGGTTAAATGGCCTAAGATGATAATATGGATGTTAAAATATAATTAGCTAAGATTCGTGTCAAAAAATGCGTGTTTTTACGAAGACCTTATTTTTACGAAAATACATTTATATTTTCTTTAAGTGCAGAGATGTAAGATAAAATCAATAGCATAAACATTAAATTTTTTTTTAAAAATTTTGCTAACTAAAGATTTAAGTACTTACCTAAATGTTGCCCCAAAACAGAAGTCACCAATAATTTACCTCGTTGTCAAGCATCAACGAGGAAAATTATTGTACCCAAGCTTAATATATCTTCACTTCAATGGCCCCCGAGTAATTTTATTAAGCCAAGGGGACACTAGAATTGTTCGGCCGCGATGCTAGGTAACAACGACCTCAGAGTCTATCTTGTCTGTTCTCTGCACTCACTATATGAAAGCTTGTCCTTTGTCTTTAGCTGGTAAAATTGCAATCTAATTTTGTGCGTGAGTTAAGACTTACCTGAGATATTATATAAAAATATTCTAATAGGTCTAAAGTATGTAGGTACCTATGCTAATAATAATAAAAAAAACAAATTTAATGGTAAGATTTATAGTGACATAGTATAAAAACTTTTGAAGGGCAAACTCGATTTATGTTTTAACTCTTTGTTAAAATTTAGTTTTACCCCCTACTAGATCTTGGATATGGGTATGACTTATAGTTACAGAGAAAAATGTAATTTAGGCAGAATTAAAACTCTCATTTATTTCATTTTTATTAATATTTTCCTTCAAGAATTTTCAGCTAGTTATTTTGCTATTTTTTAAAAAGACTACATACTAGTGACGCTACTAACACTAATAATATCACTCTTCACTCCAAGTACTTTTAAGATGCTTATGGTTCACGCAGTAGTTGGTGAATTCGAATTCACGACTTTCCGTTTTTGCATCTTAACCGGCATCCGCAATGGGAATAGATTTTAAATATTAAATTTCGATTTACAAAATATTACGTAAGAATGGGTTTTACCCACAGACATATAACCAAGATAAGGGCATGTAGAATTTTTTTTTACACACTCTACCCCTCGGGACCATTACGCAATTTTTTATAGGATGGGGTGACAAAAGAGCACACAGTCCACTTATTGGTAAATGGTTGCTATGGCCCATAAACATCTACATCTATCCTCGTTTGCGAATGAAAATACAGATGCGTTGTCACCCGTGAGGATTAAGATGGAATGCCTCTTTTCCAGTAAAAAGGGTCTCCGGTTCTCTACACTCACCATCATCATCATTACAGCCTTTCATAAGTCTACTGTTGAAAATAGGCCTCCCCCAAGGAATGCCACAAAGCACGGTCCTGAGCCACCTGCATCCATCGACTTCCTGCATGTCTTACCAGGTCGTCACTTCATCTAGTGGGGGGTCGCCCTACACTTCGCCTACCGGTACGAGGCTGCCACTCGAGAACCTTTATTCTCCATCGGTTGTCGGTTCTTCGAGCTATATGGCCGGCCCACTGCCACTTCAGCTTACTAATCCGTTGGGCTATGTCGGTTACTCTGGTTCTACTGCAGATATCCTCATTTCTAAGTTTATGACGCAGAGGAATCCCAAGCATAGCCCTCTCCATAGCTCGCTAAGCGACCTTGAGCTTCCTCATACGGCCAGTAGTGAAGGACCACGTCTCAGATCCGTAAGTCATCACTGGCTACACGCACTGGTTGTACAATTTCGTTTTGAGGCTTTGAGGTATGTCTAACGAGAAGGTGTGTCGTAGTCTCCCGAACGCTGCCCAGCCGAGTTGAATCCGTCGATTGACCTCTCGGTCGAAGTTGGACTTACCTAGTCGGACTATTTGTCCCAGGTAAACATACTCGTCAACAACTTCGAGCTTAGTGCTCCCAACAACTACCGGCATAGGTGTGACATGGACGTTAAACATGATTTTTGTTTTGTCCATGTTCATCTTAAGACCTATCCGTTGGAAGACACTATTAAGGTCATTGAGCATAGTGCTTAGGTCCTCCAGCGATTTTGCCATAAGGACTATATCGTCGGCAAATCGAAGGTGAGTGATGTACTCGCTATTGATGTTAATCCCGCATCCTTTCCAGTTCAGCAGCTCGAAAACGTCTTCCAATGCAGCGGTGAAGAGTTCCG